CTTTTCGCTGTGCAAGGACTCCAACACCCACGCTGATGGACTACATGTTCTGAGCGTGCCCTTTCCCTTTCCCCGCGCGCTCCCCTCTCCCTGCGATCCCCACCGTGCCCAATTCGGCCACGTGCACCCCACGTATCGCCGATGCATCGTCGATGCAATGGCGACATCGGCGATGCATCGGCGACGTCGGCGTGGAGGAAATCGGGCTCAACATCGAGCCGCATTGCCGATGCTGTGCATCGGCCTTTCTCGGGCTGTGGGGCCGTCAGAAATCTCAAGGCCCCGTAAACCTGGACACGCTAAACCCGGACACCCAACATCTCTCGAAACCAATTTTTCCAGACGGCGGCACGAACAAAATACTGGACTGCAACATGTCCAGAATAGACCTGGACACAGGCCCTAAAAGCCTGCAAGACCCCGTTAAACCTGGACACAAACCCGAATCCTGCAATGCAACAAACAAAAAAGAAGCATGCGAATTTGCAAGAAAAGGTGTCGTTTCCTTGCTTTCCCGTGTCCTGGTGTATCTGTTTCCTGGTCTCTGGGGGCCTGAGGATCGACTCAGGATGAAACGCCGCTCCGCGTGGAAAAATTCAGGAAATCCCTTTGCTGGGTGCGGAGCCTGCTTTCCATCCCGAGCAGGTCTTTGGACAGCCTTCGTGCCCGGCGAGGGTCCCCCGAGGCCAAGAACGGCAACAAAACTTTTCGTTCGTCGGCTGCGAGGCGGGACAATCCGCTCCAGCGTGGCAGCGATGCAGGGGCACTACACAGCGAATTGGCTGGCATGCAGAAGGAGGGAAAAGGAAGGGCGGGGCGACCGCGGGGGGGAGAGGAGGGCGAGCACTCAGAGGCAAGAGCGGCAAAATTCCTGCGTTGTGATTTTTCATTCGACCGAAATCTGGCGAGCAGAGCCGGGGGCCGAGCCGAGCCAAGTCGGGCCGAAGGGAGCCGATCGATGATCCTCAGAAAGTGTGTTAGCCCCAACGTGTGTTTGTCCATCGGGGCCCTTCGATACGACGCAGGCGATGTAATGATCTACTGGCTGGGCCGAAGGGGGTCACACACAGTGGGCGAGCAAACGTCCTGAGGATCATCGAGGCGAGAGCCGAGCAGGGTCGAGCCGGGCCGAACGGAGCCGCCCCGAGATCCGACCTCGGGAAAAACGTGAGACATCGCCAGGGATCCACGTCCGGAGCCCCGAGCCCCACATGTCGGCGCCATCTCTCGAGGAGCGGAGCCGTCCCGAGATCCGACGTCGCGAAAAACGCGAGACGTCGCCAAACATACGCGCCCCGAGCCCCAGGCCCCAGCTTTTTCGGCGCCAACTCTCGAGCCCGACCGCTCCGCCAAGGTCCCTGGGCTGGGCGAGACGTCGCCAAACATCCACGTCCCGAGCCCCAAGAAGCCCCAGCTTCTTCGGCGCCAACTCTCGAGCCCGACTGATCCGCGAGTCTGGGGACGATTTTGATTTTTTTTGTTTTTCTTGAATATGTCTTACTATTTTCTACTTTTCGTCCAAAATTCGCCTGTAGGGGGACATGTCCGACTTGACATCATCATGCAATCGGGGTGCAAATCCAAGCGCACATCACACTGCAACCGCGACGCACGCCTGAAGTGCGAGTCGGAGTGCGAGTCGACGTGCGCATCGAACTGAAGGGCAAGCGCCCCGTCCCCGGGCTGGGCGAGGCCGCTCGCCGAGGGCAGAGCTGCCCCGCCCGGGCCAGGGGGCGAGCCGAGACCCTCCGCCTCCACCTTCCATGCCTTTCGTTCGACCTCCGCGGCAGATGCGGGATGGACGAATCGGCGCTCATGGGAACCTTTGGAAGGAGCCATGGGACACACAACAACTACACACAGATGACAGGGACCCCCTATTTTCGCATGTCTTCTGGGCTTTCGTCTCCCCCCCCACTTCCCCCATAGTTTCCCATACTTTCCTGGGGAGTCGACGATTCATTGTGTCTGTTTTTTCCTCCTGAACCTCCACCTTCCATACCTTTCGACCTCCGCGGACGATGCGGATGAACGAATCGACGCTCATGGGAACCTTTGAAGGGGCCCTGGGCCCTCTGTGTTTTTGTTCTCCCCTCCCGAACCCTTCTGTGCAGTGCAAGGGAACCCACACCGATCACATCGCGAGAGCGGGACGGGAGGCCAGGAGGACGAAGGGGGGGGTCGACGATTCACTGTGTCTCTGTGTTGTTGCTCTCCCCTCCCGAGCCCTTCTGTGCAGTGCGAGGGAACCCACGCCGAGCACATTGCGAGAGCGGGGCGGAAGGCCAGGAGGACGACACTCCCAATAGTTTCCCACATTTTCCTGGGAATCGACGATTCATTGTGTCTGTGTGTTTTTGTTCCCCTCCCGAGCCCTTCTGTGCAGTGCGAGGGAACCCACGCCGAGCACATCGCGAGAGCGGGGCGGGAGGCCAGCAGGACGACGGGGGGGGGGCATCGGAGGGCGCGCTGAGGGCCGAGCCCAGAGGTTACGTCGGGCGTGTTCCCTACAGGCGGGTGTTGGACGAAGTATAAAACACAGGTACCAACATGCAGCAACAAATGCCCAAACAGAATGGACAAGTCGTCCCCAGACTATCTTTCGACTGTCTCTACAGGCGGGCGTGTCCCCCTACAGGCGGGTGTTGGACGAAACATTAAACACCTCGGTACCAACATGCAGCAGGAATGCCCGAACAGAATGCACAAATCGTCCCCAGGCTATTTTTAGACTGTCCCCCTACAGGCGGGTTTTGGACGACACATAAAAAACACAGGTACCAACATGCAGCAGGAGTGCTCAAACAGAATCCACAAATCGTACCCATGCTATTTTTCGATGGTCTCTACCGGCGGGCGTGTCCCCCTACAGGCGGGTTGTGGACGACACATACAGAACTTAGTTAATCCGCCGGCCCCCTTGTGGGGCCACCAGGCTGTAGGCGCGGGATTCGCAGTTTCCTGTACCAGTTGTAGCTTGTAGTTTCCAGTGTTACAGTTCTGCTTCTTGCTGGTTACTGTAACTAGTTGATTGACCGCGCGAGGGGAGGGGAGGCCCAAACCAGATATTTAGCACCTCCTCGGCGCGTTGTCTGAATTGCTGGGGGGGCTCGAAATCGACACCCCTCACGCAGATCCGCGGGGTCAGGGTCCAAAAACACAGGGGATTTGCCACATTTCTGAAATTCGGTGCCACCCCTCACGCAGATCCGCGGGGTCAGGGTCCAAAAACACATGGGATTTGCCACATTTCTGAAATTCGGTGCCACCCCTCACGCAGATCCGCGGGGTCAGGGTCCAAAAACACAAGGGATTTGCCACATTTCTGAAATTCGGTGCCACCCCTCACGCAGATCCGCGGGGTCAGGGTCCAAAAACACAGGGGATTTGCCACATTTCTGAAATTCGGTGCCACCCCTCACGCAGATCCGCGGGGTCAGGGTCCAAAAACACATGGGATTTGCCACATTTCTGAAATTCGGTGCCACCCCTCACGCAGATCCGCGGGGTCAGGGTCCAAAAACACAAGGGATTTGCCACATTTCTGAAATTCGGTGCCACCCCTCACGCAGATCCGCGGGGTCAGGGTCCAAAAACACAGGGGATTTGCCACATGTCTGAAATTCGGCGCCACCCCTCACGCAGATCCGCGGGGTCAGGGTCCAAAAACACAGGGATTTGCCACATTTCTGAAATTCGGTGCCACCCTTCACGCACATCCATCGCAAGGCGTGGTAACCCAAACTGCGAGAACTCCCTCGGCCCTTTAATCGCAAGGTGTGGTAACCAAGCCCGTAAACCATACACGTCTTACCAATCGCCAGGTGTGGTAACCCCTCTTGTGATCAGTTGGTTTTGCTGATTGCGAATCGGCTTCGCATGAAGTTTCGATACTGCTTCACGACAGCGCCAAGGCCTCATGACTTAGCTCTTCCATGGCCCATTCTCCGAGAGAGGGGGCCGGCGGCAGGGGGCGAAGCCCTTACGGATTACCAGCATGCCGCAGGAAGGCCCAAACATGATCAACAAATCGTTCCCAGACAATCTTTCGACTGTCTCTACAGGCGGGCGTGTCCCCCCTACAGGCGGGTTTTGGACGAAGCATAAAAGCACAGTTACCAACATGCGGCAAACATGCCCAAACAGAATCCACAACCCGTCCCCCTACAGGCGGATGTTGGACGAAACATGAAACATAGTTACCAACATGCAGCAGGAATGCTCAAACAGAATCCACAACTCGTCCCCAGACTATCTTTCGACTGTCTCTGCAGGCGGGCGTGTCCCCCCACAGGCGGGTGTTGTACGACACAGAAAAAAAACTAGGTACCAACCATGCAGCAACAATGCCCAAACAGAATCCACAACTCGTCCCCTAGGCTGCATTACTGACTGCCTCTAAGTATCCCTCCTGTAGGGGGACAGGCCCGATTTAAGCCCAGAGCCCCAAGCTTTGGACGACACATACAACCTAGGTGCCAACATGCAGCAACAAATGCCCAAACACAATCCACAAATCATCCCCAGACTATTGTTCTGACTGTCTCCAAGTATCCCTCCTGTAGGGGGACAGGCCCGATTTAAGCCCAGAGCCCCAAGCTTTGGACGACACATACAACCTAGGCGCCAACATGCAGCAACAAATGCCCAAACACAATCCACAAATCATCCCCAGACTATTGTTCTGACTGTCTCTAAGTATCCCTCCTGTGGGGGAACACATCGTCCCCAGACTATGTTTTGACTGTCTCTCACTATTCCTCCTGTGTAAGGACAAATCGTCCCCAGACTATCTTTTGACTGTCTCTAAATCTCCCTCATGTGGGGGGACAAATCGTCCCCAGACTATCTTTTGACTGTCTCTAAATCTCCCTCCTGTGGGGGGGGACAAATCGTCCCCAGACTATCTTTTGACTGTCTCTAAATATCCCCCCCGTATGGGGGACAGGCCCGACTCAAGCCCAGAGCCGAGCCGAGCCGAGGCGGGCCGAGCCGTCGTCCTCGAGCAGGGGCTGCAGCTGCTCCGCGTCCCCGCGGGCGGCCGCGACGCGGTCCAGCAGCTGGGCGCCCTCGCCCAGCGAGGCCGCGGCGGCGTCGAGCACGACCTCTCGGGAGAAGAAGGGCGGGGCGGGCGAGGCGGGGGCGTGCGTGAAGGTTATGTTGCAATTTCGGGGGACCTTATCTGTCCCGGCGCGGCCCTATCCGCGTCGAGTCCGTGTTGAATCCATGTCGGGCTCGTCGGATCCGTGTCGAATCCGTGTCGAATCCGCGGCAAATCCGCACCAAATCCGCGTCGAATCCGCATCGAGCACGCGTCGGGCGCAAGAAAAGACACAATTGTTTGGGAAAGGCGAGGTCCCCCAGAGATGCAACGTAATGAAGGGCCCTAGGGACACACAAATGAGTCAACGCGAACCCCAGGACGCCCCATGGTGTTCCACGTTTTCTCCGTCTTCGTACTCCCCCCCACACTTCCAGGGCATGAAGGGCCCCAGGGACACTTTTTGGTCTGCGGGTCGAGAGCGAGCCTCTTCCGGTTCAGAGCTCGGCGGGCCGCGCAAAGCACGAATGGGGGAGACAAAGAGCACAGGCGGGCGAGACCTCAGGCGGCCGGAGGGCGGGCCGGGGTGCAGGCGGTGCTGAGGAGGTTGCACAGGAAAAGGAACGCCTTGGACAGGAGCCGGAGGCGAAGTCCTGGAGGGTGAGCGGTGTGGTGTTGCCGTCGACGGCGCATCGTAAACACCATCCTCAAGGGGCCCCAGGGACACACAAGTGAGTCGACGCGAATCCCAGGACTCCCAATGGTTTTTCACGTTTTCTCTGCTTTCGTCTTCCCCCCCCACCACTTCCCACGTTTTCGCACATGGTCTGGGCATCGACGATGAATCGTGTCTGTATGTTCTTGTTCCCTCCTTGGTGCTGGAGGCACGAGCAGCCAACCGTGGTGGGCCGAGTGGGCTCCGCCGCCCTCTCAGCAGAGCGATCTAAGTCTAGCCCCCCTGAGCCACTCTGGTCTGGTCGACCCAAAAGGGGGTCCAGCTGAAAGGGGGTGGTGCAATAGATTTGGGGCAATTGTGTTGCAAATGTATTTCGCTGGAGCATTGTATTGCGTTGTATTGCGACGAATGTCTTGCACGCGAAACTCCAGCAACACATTTGCGGCCGAGAGTGGATTGCATGCCCCCGATGGATTGCAAACCCACAAATATTTAGCACCAAATCTATTACATCACCCCCTTGGCGCTGGACCCCCTTGTGGGTCAACCCGAAGTCTGGGGACTCCACATGCGGGTCTTGCCTCGAGGATCTCCACCCTCAGCGCCTCCCAAACAGTGCCCGGGCAGATGGCTGGAGGACTGCGCCGCATCGCCGACGCATCGCCGATGCATCGGCGAGGTCGGCGTGGAGAAAGTCGGGCTCGGACGAACGTCCGAGGAGGAGGAGGAGGAGGAGCAGGAGGAGGAGGAGGAAGAAGACAAGAGGAGGAGAAGGAGGAGGAGGAGGAAGAGGAGCAGGAGGAGGAGGAGGAGGAGGAGAAGTCGGGCGAGGAGAAAGTCGGGCGAGGGGATGTGTCCCAATGGATCGGTGCGGCGGCTGTTAAGGGGATAGGGGCTGTCAGTGAAGGCCAAGTTGGGATAGATCTGGCCCGACCTCTCTATACAAGCGGGTTGCAGCTGCCATCAGCGGCTAAGGTTGGTTAGCGGTCTGGGCTGAATGGGCTCCGCCCACCAAGCTACTTGGGGGACTCCGCCTGCGCGTCGTGCCTAGCAGAGCTCCACCTGCGGCCTCAGTGGGCGTGCTCTCGCGCAACTCCATGGGCGTGCTCGCGCGGTAGCATCCGGATTAGTCGGCACACGCTGAGACGCAGCTCGACGACCGACCGATGCCCTGGCCCTGGCAGGTGGGGGACCCACGGGGGGAAAAAGCGATGGAGCGACGACATGCTCGCATCGTAAAAAGATCGAGACTCGGGGATGGACAGACCTCCCTTTAGTAAAACGTGGTTTAGTGAAAACGACTTCTTGCCCAAACCTGGCGGGCGCAAGCCTGGAAAACAACGGCCACGGCGCCCTCTCGAAAACCGAAAACGGACAATCCACTGAATCGACGCGTCGCTGTTGGGGATTCTGCCCACCCCGAGAGACGTACGCCTTTGCGGTGTTTGCCCAAACAGGTTGGGACAAGGATCTGTGGTTCGCGGGCGACTCCGTCGGTTCTCGGCGGGCTCCCAGCCTCGGGACGCTCTCCAGCAGCTGCGCCTCGCCGAGAGCTTCCCCGGGGCCCGGCTCCCCGAAACGGCCTGGAAGCCCGAGCTCCTCCTCCTCCTCCTCCTCCTCCTCCTCCTCTCCTCCTCCTCCCTCCTCCTCCCCCCCATCCTCCTCCTCCCCCCCCTCCTCCTCCTCCTCCTCCTCCTCCTCCTCTACTCCTCCTCCTCCTCCTCCTCCTCCTCCTCCTCCTCTCCTCCTCCTCTTCCTCCGCCCGGCGTCGGCGGGACAGACGGTGTCCGAGGCAAGGGGTCATCCATATCTCAGCCCATGGGGAGCCGACGCCCTAGGCCAGCAGCGGGCGAATGATCCAGATGACCAACGTGTGGAAAACAACAACTTTCAGGAACGAAGCGCAACCCGAGCAGTGGCCTCTGGAGGCCCTGGCCAGGCCCCCGGACCGTCAGGAAGGCACTCAGGGTGTAAAAACGCTCCCTGGGAATGGGTCGAACCTTCCAAGGCCCCACCTTGCAAAAAAACAGCCCCTCAGATCTCGGGGTGTAGATCCGCCGGGACCGAGGTCCATGGCCCCCAGCGGGCGGTGGATGTGGATATATCTTGGGCCCCGAGTATTTGCATTGCGCAAGGAATTGTAGTCTCAAGTTATCACGGGACAGCCAAGTGATGGCTGTGGCCTGCTCGTTGAGCATTGTGGCCCCCGTGTCTATCTATATCCACCGCCTGCCAGGGGTCCCCGCAGATCGTTCCCCAAGGCGGTGGTTGCGGATGCATCCCCGCCTTGGAGCACGGAGGGCTTGCGAAGCAGCTCACGCAGCCAGGTAATCCGCCGCGCGCTGACGGCGCCCGTGTGTCGAGGACAGCGCCTGGCGGAGGGGCCGGAACCACCTGCGTGCAGCACACTTCGGCCCCTCCCTCTCGCCAGCGCTCGGACGTCCATTCCCTGTTTTTTCGGTTTCGTGCGTAGCTTTTTCGCCAAATGATCAAGGATGCTCCTCGATGGTCCTCGCCGAAGGAAAAATGCACACGTCCGAGCGATGCCAAGCCCTTTCCAATCCCCCTGCTTGCGTCTGGCCCGACTCAGGGGGGGGGGGGGCGCGCACGCTGCACCTTCGGTGGAGGGCCGCTCTGGACAGCAGCGGCACTCCCTACCCTCTTTCGGCCTGGGGTCGGGTCTCTCGGGAGCCTCTCGTCGCAGCGGCTGGGTCCGCCTCGACTAGCCAGTCTTAGGTCGGGCAGTCCCCCCAACAGGGAGATGTTAGACGAAAAACAAAGCGTACCCCCAAAGTGCCCACCACATTTTCAAAAATTCAAAAATGGTCACAACATCGTCCCCAGACTATGTTTTGATTGCTTTTGTTGGAATATGCCCCCTGTAAGAGGGACAGGCCCGACTGAAAGCCAGGTCAGGATGGACACCGAGCGAGTCTTCTAGGCCCTCCCCATCCTCATCTTCCGGCTCTTCTCCTTTTCTACCTCCTCCTGGGGACCCCCCTCCAGGGTGACAAACAGTCACCCTCCGACTAGGGGTGCGCCCAGCGTCTTCGTGAGGCCAGGGACCTCTCGCCTCTGTGGGCGTCCAGTCCTCCCCCTCCTCGTCGTCCTCCTCCCCCTCCTCCTCCACCGCCTCCTCCTCCCGCTCCCTGCTTCTCCTGCTCCTGCTCTGAATGGCTTTCGGCCGGGTTGTGAGGCCAGGGACCTCTCGCCTCTATAGGCGTCTAATCCTCCCCTCCTCGACCTCCTCCTCCCCTCCTCCTCCAGCCCCGTCTCCTCCTCGTCCTCCTCCTCCCCCTCCTCGTCCTCCTCCTCCTCCTCTCCGTCCTCCTCCTCCCTCGTCCTCTCCCCCTCCTCGTCCTCCTCCTCCCCCTCCTCGTCCTCGTCCTCCCCCTCCTCGTCCTCCTCCTCCCCCTCCTCGTCCTCCTCCTCCCCCTCCTCGTCCTCCTCCTCCCCCTCCTCGTCCTCCCGCTCCCTGCTTCTCCTGCTCCTGCTCTGCATGGCTCTCGGCTGGGCGGGAGCGCCGCGGCCGTCTCGGCGGGCCCTCCTCCGACGCGTGCCCGCCGGCCCTGCCCAGGCCCCTCCTGAGCTCGGCATGCCCGCCCGCCCGGCTGTTCCATGTGGGCATTAACCAGCCTCGAACGTATCCCTATCCCTAAGATGGGCGAGCAAAAAGCAAGGACAATCTTAGGGATAGGCCCTCAGAAGCTGAGGGAATCCTTAAGATCGGCATCCAGGTGAGGTGATGTCAAACATAGGGATAGGGATATGTTTCAAACTGGTAAGGCATGTGCGCACTGGTCACGGGCCCAGAATCGGCGGTGGACAAACCTCCCTTTCGTGGTTGGCGGCGCGCACAAAGGGGGTGGAGGGAGCGGGGAGGGCTTCTTAGCAGGAGGCTGCTTCTTAGAAGGCGCCGGCCTTACATCTATAGACAAGGCCCGCGCCTTCTAAGAAGCAAGGGTGCCTCCAAGAAGCCCTCCCCCCTCCCCCCACCCCCCTGTGCGCGTGGCTGAAGTAGACCTCGGCCTGGGACCGAAACCGACGGACCTGGACCCGCAAAAACGACGGCCGCGACGCCCTCTCGCGAATCGAAAACGGCCAATTCGCTAATCGACGTGTCAGGGTAGGAGGTCTGTCCACCCCCGACAGAATGGGCCTGGCCAAGGCCGGCTCGGGGGTTGCTATCCAGGCGCTTCTGGCCCGAAGCGCCCCCGGCTTCTCGCTCCCTGCTGGAGCCCCTGGGGGGCCCCTCTGGACCTCGCGAGGGGTGCCCTGGAGGCCGTGGGGGGCCCCCGTGGCAGCCCAGGTTGACCCAAAAGGGGGTCCAGCGACAAGGGGGTGGTGCACTAGATTTGGTGCAATAGATTTGTGGGGCTGCAATACAT